CTCGCTGTCCACAAGAGCGGGTGGTGGCCAACTCCCTTTTCTTCTCTCACCTGAGCGTCTCTTCGGCAGAAAGGCTTTTCGCCTCGGCTTCAAACATCCCCACCAAGCATCATCGAAGCTCGGGATAAGCAGTTCTATGCGCAGACAAGTCAGTCCAACTCCCTCCCTCCCTCCCTCCCTCACCCATTCGTTCCTCGGTCCTGACCTACACACGCCCAGGCCAGAAACCCTCCCTCCCTCCCCCTCGACCCCAAGCCCGTATGTCAGCGTCGAACTCCTCCTCCAGCGGCGGGCATGGACCTCCCGGACAGCTCCCCTCTCTTTCCTGTCCCGACGGGCATATACCTCCCGGACAGATTCTCCCTCTCCCCCGTCCCGGCGGGTATCCCGGACAGCCTCCTTCTCTTCCCCGCCCCAGCGGGCATGGACCTCCCGGACAGCCTTCCTCTTTCCCACCCGCAGGCATGGACCTCCCGGATGGCGTCCCCCCTTTCGCCCCCCCCCAGCTGCCGGGAATAGCCAGAGCGCCGTCGCCCGTCTCTGGCCTGAGCTAGCCTGCTTCTACATGAGCTTGGCGAATCTGGCACGATACAACCAGCCAGGCGACGACCTGGAAGTCGTGGAGCTACGCCGCCTCCCCAACCCGCACGTAGTGCGCCTCCAGCGCCACACGGATGAAAGCATGTTCCGCGTCTTCCGCGGGCCCGTCGATGCGGCGTGGGAGGAGAAAGCGCTCCCGTCGAACTGCCCGCCCGGCCGGCCCTGCTGCTGCGTCAACGGGGGCGGGCCGGTCCACGGTCTTGTAGGGTACGCGCAGGAGGTGGAGCCGCTGGCATACGCATACGGGTACGGAGGGGAGAATATGTGGGCTGTGCATGTGTCGTTGAAAGGTCCGCAGGCGGAGGGTATCCATCGGGCGGCGTGGGAGATGGCGCCCGGGCTCGCCGGGATGCTGGGGGAGGTTGGGGAGTTGATGCACAGGGTAGAGGGAATAAAGGGGTCGTCGTATTACCGCGAGTTTACGCTGACGCCGGTATGGTCGTTGCGTAGGCCTGAGTGCCGGGCCAGGGTGATGGATGGGGTGTTAACTGTTACGATCTTGTAGAAGGGTATAGCGCGATGATGGGTAGGGTCTTTTTTTCTTCTTCTTTCTTGGTAGATACAATCCAATGCTGGTTTATTTGTTGGCGCGAGACATGGGAGATACCAGCCAAGGCCATCTAACGGTTGATGGAGGCCGTGAAATGGGAACATAAGGCCTATGGTTGTGCCAACTAGGCCTAACCAGGAGAGAATCGGTGCTTACTTTCTTGGCGAGAGGTCTCGCGCTAACGAACAAACCAGTATTGGATGGTACAGTCCCTTTTGGGACCAATTCACGATTGGTTTGGTTGTATTGGAGGGTCTTTTCCTTTTCCTAGGCACACTTGGCCATTTCTTCTTGCAACGACGTGGGATAGCAAGGCATCTTTAAACAGTGCCACACGATCATGTGGCTCATGTGTGGCGGGTGCTCTCTTGGCACTTGGCACATGAACCCGAAATCAGTCGTTGCCACTGGCGACAGCCAAGGTTTGGCCCGCTTTCGTCATCAGCTGTGAACCTTTTGGCTTTGTCCCGACTGAATCCCGCCCTGCCTCCTTGCCCACTTGTGCAGCCAAACAACAAACGGGAAGGAGAAAAAAAAACCCTACCTATTCTGTTGATTTGCCCGTCACACTGTCCCCAGTGTCTGCAGGTCGCCGTCCCAGGCCCGGTCCAGCTTGCCGTGCTTCAGTGGTTGCATGTGCTGACACGTCTTGGGTTTTTGGCCGAGACAAAGACTCCGACTCCTTCCTCTCTCCTTCAATCCAACCCCCCCCATCGCATCGCCCATCTCGCCCCCATCGCATCCCCGATCACCCCCATCGCAACCACATCATGTCCGACACCGAGAGCGTCGACTACCTCCAGGACGGGTTCGACCCCTGGTCGCTGACGGTGCCGCGCCTCCGGTCCATCCTCGTCACCCACAACGTCCAGTACTCGGCCACGGCCAAGAAGCCCCAGCTCGTCGAGCTCTTCGAAGACGAGGTCGTCCCCCAGGCCAAGAAATACCTGGCCGTCCGCGCCCGCGCCAAGCGAACCAGCAGAGGCATCGTCGACGCCGACTCCCAGAGCACCACGAGCACCGACTTTGACCAAGACCTCCGCCCTCCGCCCCAGCTGTCCGCCCGCTCCCGATCGCCCAGAAAGTCCTCCCGGATCAAGCACGACTCGGAAGACCCAGAACCCGTCATGCACACGCCCGCTCCGTTGCGCGAGAGCCCGCGCAAGAGGCAGTCGCGGTCGGCGAGCGCCCAACCGCCACCCCCGCCCTCCGACACCGAGACGGCCTTTGACGGCGCAGCCTCCCGGTCGACCACCAAGAGCCGCCGCACCACCCCGGCGCCAAAGCTCGAGCCCCGCGACGACGACGACGACGACAACTTCTTCAAAAACACCCCCGAGACCAAGGGCGTCTTCTCCACCGAGAACCCCTTCCAGAGCGGCGGCAGCTCTCCGCCCGCTCCCGTCAAGACGCCCAGCAACCGCCGAAAGACGGCCGACCTGAACTCGATCCGGAAAACCGCCACGCAATCCGCCAGTCGCCGACGCACCGATGGCCCCGCATTCGACGACTACTATGACGACCACCCGGCCACCGTCTCCCGATCCTTTGAGATCCCCCTCCCCCTCACCCCCAAGAACCCCGCGCCGTCCCACGTCGTGGAGCCCGGCGAGGAGTTCACGCCCGAGGAGCAGCTCGCCCTCATACAGGAGGAGCAGGCCGATCCCCAGCTGGCCCTGGCTCGCAGAAAGGCACAGGCGCCCAAGCGCAAGGGGCTGTCGACCCCCCTCTGGGTTCTCGCCGTCACCGTCCTGGGCGCCTACGCGGCGTGGTACCGACAAGAAAAGGTGGCCGTGGGCTACTGCGGTCTTGGGAAAGAACCAAACCAGCTGATCCCCTCGGCCATCGAGCTTCCCGAGTGGGCGGCCGAGCTCACGTCCAAGCTGGGGGTCGAGAGCATCCCGGTCCCCGACTGGATCGGCCCGCTCCTGGAGCCCGAGTGCGAGCCCTGCCCTCCCCACGCCTACTGCTACGACGACTTTTCGGTCCGCTGCGAGGCCGACTTCATCCTCAAGCCCCACCCCTTCTCCCTCGGCGGCCTCGTGCCCCTGCCGCCCACGTGCGAGCCCGACGGAGAAAAGGTGCGCCGCGTGCAAACCGTGGCCGACAAGGCCGTCGAGGAACTGCGCGACCGCCGCGCCAAGTTTGAGTGCGGCGAGCCTGCGGAACCCGAGGGGCCGCCCCTCGAGAGCCCCGCTATCGAGGAGGACGAGCTCAGGGAGATTCTCAGCCAAAAGCGCAGCAAGAGGATGGCCGCCGACGAGTTTGACGAGCTCTGGCTTGCAGCCCTCGGCGAGGTCAAGGCGCGAGACGAGGTGGTGGTGCAAGTCGACGAGTCCCCCGCCGAGTAAGTTCCGCTTTTCCTCCCCCTATCCGCCACCACATCTCCTATCCCCTGTCTACATTTCTTCCGTCTTTCTGACCACCTTAAACTAACCAGACCCCCCACCGCCCCCCCTACAGAGCGACAAGTGCCCCCGGTCTTCCAGCCACCCGCCTCTCGTCCGTCTCTCTCGCTCGACTTTCGTACGCCTGCGCGGTCCGCCGCTCCCTCAAGCTCGGACTGGCGCGCCATCGCCTCAGCCTTGGCGGCCTGATCTCGGCCGTGCTGTCGCTCCTCTACGCCCGCAGCCGCTACCGCACCAGCCGCGCCCTCGCCGCCCAGGTCCCCCGCCTCGTCGACGAGGTCCTCGAGCGCCTCGCCGCCCAAAAGGAGCTCGCCTTTGACGACGGCGATGACGATGCCTTCTTGTTCCTCCCCAACCTCCGCGACGACGTCCTCCGCAAGATGCACAGCCTCCGTGACCGCGACCGCCTCTGGCAGCGCGTCCGCGCCGTCGTGGAGCAGAACAGCAACGTGCGCACAGGGCAGCGCGAGGGGCGCAACGGCGAGGTCGGCAGGGCGTGGGAGTGGATTGGGCCTAGCAGGGCTGCCATTACCGACGGAGGGAGCGCGCGGAGCACCAGGCGCAAGAGCAATCGCGTGTCGTGGGGTGTCGATGTCAAGGGGGACGCGGGGTCGCCTGCGCCGGCGGCGCAGGTGGGGGAGGCCAAGGTGCAGACCAGGAGGTGGGAGGAGGGGAGGCCGATTTATTAATGGGAGGCGGTTTCTTGTGTACTTCTATATCCTTTCTTTTGTACCACGCCTCGACTGGAGGACGACCCGGTCTTGCTCTTTTCGGTGATGGTGGGTGGGTGGGTGGCGTTTGGGCGGTGCTGGTGCTCTGCCTTGCTCTCATCGGGCGAAGAGAGAATTAACAATTCATTTGTTTTTGCCAACGGGTCTCGTTTTGTTTCTCTTTTGAGCGTGATGGTGCTCTTCTCTCCCAAGTGCCCTTGTGCCTGCTTGCCTTGGGATTTCGGTGTTGTCCTTGCTATGGGAGTTTGGGGTGGACGAGGGGGGTATTGATTCTTCTCAAGGGCTGGGGCTGGGGCTGGGGCTGCTGGGGCAAGAAGGGAAGCGAAAGGGGACGGGAAGGGAAGGGGGATGTCCCCCTAGATAATATTTGCAGTGCCATTCAGTGAGCTGGGGGTGGGGGTGGGGGTGGGGGTGGGGGTGGGGGTGGTTTGGGCATTTCACTAGTCTAGCTAGCTAGCTACGTTAGTTCAGAAGAAGCGAATGTACCTCTTAGAAACAATACCCATCTTCCCTTAACAGGGAGTGCGTGATGCCGCTTGCAGCAGCAGCCCGGTGTTGTTCTTGTGGTGCAGTACTTTGGGCGATGCTATGTACGCCATGTTTAGAGGATTCCTCAGATAGTAACCTGAAATTATGGAGGGATAGGCAAAAATAGGGGACAATGCCCCCAAAAAAGGGGAACGACACAACAACCAAAAAAAAAACAAGACTGGCCCAATGACAGGCTTGAACTGTCGACTTTCGCATAACGGGCCCGATACATGACCCGAGGGGTTGTATTAGTACGATACTCTGACCAGCTAGTTAAGTGAATCGGGCTTTTGCAATCTTGCTGGGGGGTGGGATGGAGTTTGTGTGGATGTGTTGTGGTGGAGATGTGGATATTTGGGGTTGCGAGGTCGGCTTGGTCAACGGAAAAAAAGAACATTGCTCACACACAGTTAAAGGGTGAACGACTTGCCATCAATAATTCTCGGATTCAACTCCTAAATAGTAGCTCTCCTATCTGTTACAGCCTCCGACGTCCGTCGACGCTTCCCCGAACCCCCCCGGACTCTACTCCTCACCACCCATCTCCACGTCGTCACCCCCCGCTCCCACCATCTCCCCCTTCCTCTCCATAAACCACCTCCTGCTCTGACTCATCTCGTACTCCCAGAACCCCAGCCGTCCTATCCTGATCCTATACGCCGTCCACAGCAGCTCCAGCGCCTCCCCTTCCGCGCCCGCCAGCCCGCGCATCAGCTTCGCCCTGTCGTCCCACGCCCCTTTCATCTCCTCGTATAGCTCAAAGTCGCGGCTCACCGTGTCTAGCTCGAGGGGGCTCAACTCGTTGGCGGGATGCCAGCCGCCACGACGGTGGTGGCTGGGGAACTGGGAGAGGGACCACTCAAAGAAGCCGACGGGGATGTTCTGGGACGGGTTCGACGGCGGGTTGAGGAATTCGATGCCAGAGCGGCGGATGCGCTCGTGGGTTTGGAAAAAGGTGTTGAGGGTGTAAGGAGGGATGGGGTCGGGGGCAACGCAGGTGCCAGAGGAAACGTCGATATCCATGCCATCTTCGGGCATTTCTCCCTTGTCCGCCGCCTCCCTCTCCTCCGGCTCTGGACTCCCCCAGGTCAAGGGTGACAGACGCAACCCCCCCCTCGGAGACCCCGGCTCTGCAGCCTGCGACCCCCCCGCTACCAGCGCCGCGCCTTCATACTCCTCGGGGATCTCTTCGCACTCCGGGACCTCCCCCTCGGTAATCCGACTCCCATACATCCGCCGATAAAGCCTCACCACCCTCTGGGTCTGGGTCTGGGTCTGGCTCGGGATGCCTTCATCCCCCGACATGTCCCACAATGCCGCCTCCGAGTCCGGCGTCGTAGGCTCGCGGTGCCGACGATCCGGCTCGGGGCCGCTGCCGCGCCGGGGATGGCAGCGGGGCTCGTTCACCCCTGCTGTAGGGGGTGGAGGACGTCGTCGGGGGGTGGCTGTGTAAAGGTCATTGGATGGGGCTCGCTTTCGACTTGTCGGGATGGTGGTGGTCTCCGTGACGCGTGCGAGGGAGGAAGGGGGTACTTTCACTCTTAGAATCAGCCTGCGAGGCTGTCTCACGGGGCCGGGGACAGGGCCAGAACCGGGGCCAGAGCTGGTGCTGGAGGGAGTCGCGGACTCGGGGGTCCCTATCGCCGGCACAAGTACTCCGGGTCCGGGTGTCCCAGCTGCAAACTCAGACGGTATGGGTGCGGTTACTGCGAGGGAGGAGAGCCCAAATATAGTTGACCTAAGAGGAACCATCGCGGGAGCGGCCAGCGTAGGAACGGCTGGTTCGGTAACGGCCACCGCTGGGACGGCCACTGTGGGGGCGGTCACTGTGGGGACGGCCAGCTCGGGGACGGCCAGCTCAGGGCCGTCAAACATGGGGACGGCCACCGCGAGAGCGGCCATCGCGGGAGCGGCGAGCGCAGGGGCTGATGGTATCAGCGACGGCGGCGGCGGCGGCGCGGTTCTTCCGCCTTGGAAATTCCCCAACGTCTCCTCGCAAGCAATCCTAGCAGATGCGACGGCAGTAAAGGGTGAGAAACGCGGGAACCCAACGGGATCACCGAGAACGGACATGACGAGACTACCGCGAGATCGGGCGCCGATGGCGTGAGTGCTGCTGTTGCCATTATCGCCATGGCTCACCAGGCCTTGTGCTTGCCTTGTTAGGCGTTGGTCTGACAAACCAACGCGCGAAGACAAAGTGTCAGAGAGATGCACGGAAGGCAAAACGCTGGGCACAAAAGGCTCGTGCTGGCGAGCTGGCTCTACGCTTTGTCGATATCTTGCAGCCAGGGGAGCTGGTGTAGATCCGGATGTGCCTCGTGGGAGATATCTGCTCATGTTGGGGCCCGGAAGGGACGCTTGCCGATTTGGCATGGTTTGCAATGGAGAAATAGGAGGCTCAATTGCATGTCTCATATCTGCTTGCCCTGGAGCTGCTTGACTCCCACCTGTTCCTTGTGTCCTTTTCCTCCGGGGGGGAGCTGTGGAGGGGGGGAATGAACGAGAATGTTGCGAGGGGGATTCTCGACGGTGCTCATGCGAGTGCCTCTGCTCATACATCAAACGCTGCAGCCCCATACGCTGCTGCATGAAAGGTTGTCGCGATGTCTGTTGGTTGTCCGTTCCCGCCATTTGTGTGTCCTGGGGAGCCCCCAATTGCCCCTGTCCATCAGCTGGACATGTTCCTAGGACAGCAGGAAGAGGCGCGAGACCTTGTTCTGGTCGGAGAGAAGGAGTATTGGCTTGCTGTGAGTCCTTGCCCCTGCGATCCTGCGAGACAGGGTTGGATGTGCTTTTTACTCCAGTCGGTGAAAGAGGGGAATTCAACGAATGATCTGAAAATATCTTGGTCAGAAAAGAAGGCTTTGGGAGAGTTCGATCTACTTACTGCCTTGCTCATCAGGGTGCGATGTGCTACCCTGGCCAGAAAGAGAAGATGAGTCAAGGAAAGGGGAATCTAGACTGGTTAGCTGGTGGAAGGCCCGGGGGGCCGATGTCCTTACCAGTGCGTACACCAAGACGAGTTGCTTTGCTGGTGCCAATGCTGGTGCTGGGTGCGGCAGTTGGCGAAAGAGAAGAGATTGGTATGGATGTTATTCGGGTTGCCTCGGGAACGGAAGATGGGAGCCGAGCTGAAAGACGTAGGGGGGAGTTCCGAGAACTGTCAAAGGGCAGCCGCACATATGTAGTGCCCCCGATTGTAACGGCTGGGTGTGCGTTGAGAGCCCGTTGGGGGATGGGTTGGGCAATGCTCCTCCGTACTGTTCCAAGTCTGACCACGATAGGAGTAGACGAAGGAGCTTCTGACTTCTTTCCGGATTCCCTCTTAACCAGAACCACTCGGGGTCCGGGAGGGCTTCGGAAGTGGAGAGCTTTGGGTACGCGGGAAACGGCTCGTCCGACACTGCATCCCCTGTTGTTGTCGGTCTCGTGGCGGCTTTCTTGGACGCCAGCCGGGGTGGAGTCGAGGAGGATTGGATTATCAGATGTGCCTCCTAGCAAGTCCGAGACAACCGATATGGTGGGTGTCGCTGGTCGCTTGCTTTCGACATCCTTATCGGGATCGTTCTTCATTTCCTCCATGGTTGGGGTGTTTTTACGATGGTCTAGACCACCCAAGTCGTCCGCAAGGGCAAACGCTCAACAATGAATATTAGGGCAAGGGCTAAGTATGGGGTATTGACTCGTTGAAAAAAATCAGGGGCTTGTTGGCACGGAAACGGGGGACTGGTGGGGCTGCAATGGCCTCCACGGTCTGGAACACCCCGAAGATTAAGAAGAGGGAAGAGTTTCGTAGAAGATATATGACAAAAGGTCGACGGTGGGAACGAAGATGTGTAGCCCACAGAAGACCTTAGTCTTGGTGTCGTGTAGAACTTTGGTAATGACGGTCCGCACGATCCTCGGGCTGATAGTAGCCAGGAGAATGGGGATAGTTGAAGTAGTCCTGACCAAGACGGGAAGGATAATCAGTTCTGCTCGAATAACTCTGACGGCGGTCAAGGCCAGGGCTTTGCTGAGAGGAGAATGTGCTGATGGCAGTGTCCACTTGGCGGAAGCTCCCGTGATGGCTATGGCTAGGACGGTGGTGGAGGGACAGAAGAACTGTCCTGACCGAGGCTCTGGTATCCTTGATAGCTGGAACGACGGTTGGGGCTGTATCGCTGACCTCCTTCACTGTTTCGACAAGGACTGGAAGCTATGCCGTCTTGCCGTTGATCAAATGGCCGAGTCCGATGCTGGGAAGTGGTAAACGAGCTGTCAAGATGTCTACGTCGCTGGTGGTGATCAAGCTCCTGGTCAGAGGTGGCGAGATTCGGGCTGTGCCTCTGATAAGGCAGAGGAAGAATACGATTCTGGGCAGTGGTGGAGTGCTTGTTGGAATGATGCTGGCCAGCAGAGTTGTATTCTTGATGAGAGCCTTGATTCGATGGGCTGTCTTGGTGCAAATTCAGAGAACTAACTCGGCTATGCTGACCGATGTCGCTAGATTGCCGAGAGGTGGATGGAGCGACAAGATCGTTGCCTGTGTATGGAGCCGGAGGAGGGATTTGGGTGGCTTGGGTGGAAGACAGGCCTTTGTGGTTGCTTTGATAATGATCAGGATCCCGAGAAGTCAGAGGATTGGTGTGACCATTGTTGTAGTCAAGGTCTCGGTGATAGGAAGCCGAAGAATCGGTGCGGCTTTGACCGGGCGCTTGGAGTATCTGAGAAGAATGGGTGCGACCGTGGTCGAGAGGGTCTTGATGTCGACGCAGGGTCAAAGAACCGACTTGTCCGCTGAGGACGGAGACTTGGTTTGAGGAGGACGACAAGGCAGTGCGGTCTTGGGGAAGAGTTTGGGAGGCAGAAGAAGAGTGGGTGCGTCCGTGGTAGAGAAAATCCAGGTCTTGACCAGAAGTCGAAGGGCCGGTGCCAATTTGATTGTTGTTCTCGTGATGAGGATATTTTTGGAGTGGAGACGAAGAGCCAGAAATTTCTTGGTTGGGAGCTTGGGAAGAGGAAGAAAAGTTGGCACCGAGACGTGGGTGCGAGGGAGTGGCAGAGAAGGAAGCGGCAGAAAACTCTCGGGGGGTTGATGGCAAGTGGACCGGGACGTGATCCTTTGGGAGGCGGCCGTGATTGTGGCCCTGGTTGCTTGTTGCAAAGCCAGCAAGGCTTGTGTGGAGAGGAAGATGGTAGGTAGAAAAATACTTCTTTGTGGCCGTGTGCTCCTTCGAAGAAAAGTAGTCGTTTGGGTTTTGGGGGCCAGTGCGAAACTCCTCAGGCAGGCTCTGGAGAAGCGT